GATCAGTTTGCAGAGGCCACCACACAACCTTGAAACATCTTCAGGAGCTCATGGGAGCTTTATCCCACAGCATACTTTGGCAGCTTGTTCCAGGACCTGATGAACCATGCCCTGAGAAAATCTCTTGAGCTGGAAGAAGCAGTCACTGGTTGGCCCCTGGCTATGCTCCCTGGGCTACTCATGATTTTTCAGACCTTGGTTATAAGTTATCTCTTTCACTGGCTGCTCTTCAGCCTTGTTTGAATGTTTGCTTTTCATCAGAAATGAAAGGTTTCTCCCTTTGGGCCAGGCTGTCCCATCCTATGTGGCCTCAGACCTGGTTGCTACAGGTTTAATAGCTCCCTCCAGCTCTACCAGGCCCATGCTACAGCAGCTAGCCCTGAGCCGTGCCTGTGTGCTTCCATTTACTGTCCTGTGTGGTTGCTCCATGATCAACTGGTTCAGCTTGGCTGGTCCAGCCTGGCCCAATCTGACAGTCCAGTTTGGCTTCCTTACATTTGCAAATCCTTGAGCTCGCAGAGGCTGTGTTTGCAGGCATGGACTTTGTTTAGATACATTCAGATTATATCTCAAAAATGGGTGTAAATTAAAAACCTGCTTTTGTGGGAACCAGGGGGTTTATTCCACCTGAGATCAGCCTATGGGGAAAGGACTCAGGAGAGACATGAGGAGTACTCTCAGGAATTCCATCCTCTGCTTGAGAGATGCTTTTAAGCTCAGGTTCCTGCTCTCCTGCCCTTGTAGAGCAGCCCTCTCTGGCTGCCCCTCCACCCCCCAGCAGGAATTGCCCTTTTTTCCAGTAGGTTTAGGTTGATTTAAAGAGTTTACAAACTGCCAGTTTAAAAGCTTTAAGCTGTAAGGTTTCCCTTCATCTTCCTGAGCCCAAGGGGAGAGACAAGGTGAAAGACAGTACTGGAAGGACCATGGTCCCCCCATGCCTCATGCCAATGAACACAGGCATGATCTTCCTGCTTTCTGCTGCTCCACTGCATGTGAGGCCCATCAATCTGGAAAGTGAAGAGCTGGACAGATCCGTGTGCAGAAAATACCCTTGGTGTGAACCACAGGCAATGTTTCAGGTGCGCTTAACAGGTCAGGCTCTGCTTCTCAAGTCCTGCAGGCAGTGCTGCTACAAGCTCTCTGTGTCAAGGTAGTCAAGTCACTGCATTTCTCCATGATATTTTCTTCCTCAGAGAATAAAACCAAGCTAGTCAACCCTCTGCTGTCCGTCTATCCTGCTGTACCAGCTCCGCAGATGGCAGATGGCTGCCTGCTGTCACGGGCTGGGTTGGAGCCCAAATCAGCTGGGGGACTCAGGGCCCTCTGGCGATGCACAGCAAGGGCTGAAAGGGAACATCTGGCTCCTGTGGCTATGGGTCCTGTCTTCAACAGTGGGAAATTTGCACCCACATTTTCAGGGAAAGCAGCAAGGAACATAAAATAAAGGCTGCCTTGAAAAACACTGGAGGAAAAAAAGGTGAAATAACCTCCTCTGGCACACATAAGTGTGTTGAAGGTGAGTAGCCTCTCCTCCTGCACTCAGCTCCTTCTGCAGCCCAGTCTCTACCAGGCACTTTGCTCTGGGTGTAAATCTCTTGTGTGCTGTACCTTGGGCTGGCTGACCCACCACACAGCCTTGCAGGCATCGTTCCTGTGTCAAAACCTACGACTGGCTCTCAAACCGGCAGCGTTGCTAAGTGACAGCTGATTTACCACATCACTTACCCACCGCAGCACACAGCAGGAAAGCAGAGGAAAAGGTACAGGTAGCACTGGCCAGACCTCACCGCCACCATGCCCAGGCAGTGCATAACCCACATCTGGACAGGCCACATTAATCTTTCACTATGTGGTGCTTACAGTCAAACTCCAACATGAAATGAAGCAGGCAGAGATTTGGCGGGGCACACCAGGAACTGGCAGGCCTGGGGGGTTGCAGTGGGGATCACCAAGCAGCAGGAGAGCTCAGCCACATGTGGTCTTTTCCATTTGTGCCCTTTTCTGTAACAGCAGCACCTGGTGCTCCTACAACTGCAGGTGGCGCAATCGATAGAAGGCTGAAGGGAAAACATGCCTCCTGCAAAATTTCTTATGCAAAATGCAAAATTAGTGGGAAATGGGGCTAGGATTAACCAAGAAATTAAAAAAAAATGTAAGTTTCTCACCTGAGCTTCAGTCTCTTCTGTATGAAAGGAGTCTTCTTGCACAGGTCAAAACCCCATGTTTCATATTGGTGCAGAGTTGTACCACCCCAAGGGAAGGGGTAGGACACCATCATCGGCGGGAATGTGCGGGAGAGAAGTGCCATGTTGTGCATTGACAAGACCTCTTGCAGCTCTGGGCTGGAGTCAAACCAGTGGCGTTACAATGCCATTCCCATCTGAAACCTGTGTTGACGTAAACCAGGATGAGCCAAGGGGATCTGGGCCCACCACCAGGGGAGATGTCTGAACTAAGATGAGCCTGAGGTCAGCTCTTGTGCAGGAACTGTGGTGGCTTCTAGCTTGTTTCATCACTTCACACGATTGTTACCTCTGGTAGAGACACTGGAGGCTCCGCAATGGCAAACAAACACAGTTATCCCCGCCTTGCCAGTGTGGGAAAACAGCTTACCCAAAAACATCAGGTATCCCAAGTTTTCCAAATGAAAAGAGGTTTCTGTCCCTCAGTGTTTTAGACTCCAGTTTTTGAACTTGTTTCCTATTTTTTAACAAAATTGGAGAACAAGTTTTGTGAAAGCAGAGCCACGAGCACATGCACACAGTAGACCAGCATGTATGTGACCAAGGCAGGCTTGAAGAATGTTCTCTTTTTCTGCTATTACCCTAAGGTTTATAAATGCTAATCAAAGCTGTGTTTTTAAAGGAAGCTTTATGCCGAGCACAGCACTGCTGATAAAGTACAGACAGCCACAACCTTTCTTAAAGCAGCAAGTCTCTCCCTTTCAGGGTAAGAGTGGGGGCAGCACAAAAACCGCTCAACACAACCCCCAAAATCTCATCCCATTGGATCATCAAATATCCATAGAGAACTAATAGGAAGGTAGAGCACCATAACTCTACTGACTTGATATTGTTTCTTAGTTTATTTATTGTCCTACAACAGCTGATGGAAAGAGATGATTCTGCTTTCCCTGGCTATCCTCACAGCTGAGCAAGCAAAGGTGACACCAACGTTTTTGGGACCACGTTAGGACTCTTTTCATGGGTTGGAGATTGCTGCATGCATCTAATGCACAGGTGACCTTATCCAGACTTGCACCTGGGTCACACTGCCACTGGGAAGGTTTTTGTCAGGGGTCAAGGAAGGCAGCACCTACACCATCCCAGCAGGGCAGTGGCTGGGCTGCTGTTCTACCTCATTCCCCAACTAAGCCAGCCCTTCAGCAAATATGCCATGTCTGTGCCACCTACCAGCCTGTTGTCATGGGGTTTGTTTGGCTTTGGGACTAACACCTAGAGTGAACACCTGAGAACCCAAATTATTTTGTGTTTGTGGCAGCAAGCTGTCTCAGCATGCCTTTCCCTCAATGACAACTTAGTGTGAATTAAAAATCAGCATAAAAATATAACCCCATGGACCACCACTAGCCATCAGTACGTGCTCCCCAGATTATGACTGCAAGTGAGGTCTCCGCAGCATGGATTTAAGGGTTCCCTGAGCAAACAGACTCAATATCCTCTTGGGTTTTTTCCCCAGGGGTCTTGCTCCTTCATATCACTCAGCAATAGGACCAATGAGCATCCTAGGACTCAGCTGAGCTGGCAGGGCAAATGTTTGCAAGCAAAGTACTGGAAGTAATTTTTCTTAGCAGGACAGTAAGAAATATACCCCACTGCTGCAGGCAGGGCTGAAAACCACCAGCCCAGGAAGGCGGAGGGAAAGTAATGGTGGCTGAGAAGGCCTGTGGCTGGTACCTCATAAGGACAGAGGGAGGAGGACAGATGAAGGAAGAGAAAGGGAAACTTGTTGGTGGCAGGTTTATAAGCAACAAGTCAGAGACACCTTTGTGAGGTGGGTGAGGGCAGCTGCCCGCAGGTCTGCTTGCCGTGGCTATGGGCAGAGAGGGCTCTGCAGGCCCTTTCTCAGAAGAGATTCTTTAGTGGAGAACAGCAATGTTGCAATCATACAAATAAGAAATGCAGACAATTAGTCCACCAGAGTTTGGTACTGGTTTACCTGACCATAAAGACTGGGTGTTGGTGCATCCACAGCACCTATTTGATGTTCACTTCCTTCAGACAGTAAAATCAATGTATCAGGGGAAGCTCAGGCCCCCTGAGCCAGTTTCTTCATGGGGCCCCTGCACTGGGGGTGGGGGAGCTGAATGGACTTTGTGGGTCCTGGTCTGGGACTGCAGGCACTGGAGTCTCCAGGGTCATCTGCACGGGGCTGAGGGACACACAGAGTACAGCTATTCTTGAACACTGTGCTCTTGTGTGTGCAGGTGGGTGTGTGTTGCATCTCTTCAGCACTGGGGATGCCAATGTGTCACCACTGCTTGGGGAGGGCACAGCTCCTCTGTATGTGTACAGCATAGAGGGGTGTTGGCAGGCCACATCTCCCCAGCACTCTTTGGAGGAGAGAGGTGTATCTGTGTGGGTGTACGCATATACGAGGGTTGTGGATGTGTGCCCATATGTAGGTGCATATGTATGCGTATGTGTGTGAGTGGGCACATGTCTCTGCAACTGTGCATACACATATTTGTGCCCGTGTACGTGTGGGTGTGTGTTCGTGTGCCCATGTGTATACACATGTACAGGCGTGTACGTACTCAGCTGTGTGGCCGCAGCTCTCAGCCCCTGGGCGGGGGGTGCACCGCCAGCCTGAGTTTGTGCGTGTGTGTGCCATATCTGCTTGTGCTCGCCCGGCTACTTGTACAAGGTGCCCTGCCACCTGCCCGTGCAGTGGATCCGTGCGTGCCCAGGGCTGTGCCTGGCGGAGGGCGGCCCCGCTCCCGCAGGCGCGGCGCCGCCCCTCTCCCTCCTTCCCTCCCTCCTCCCTTCCTTCCCTCCCTCCCTCCCGCCGCCGCCGCAGCCGCACCGAGACACAAAAAGCGGCTGGGCAGGGCCGGGCAGGGCCGGGCAGGGCCGCGCCGGCACCATGACGGAGACCACCAAGACCCACGTTATCCTGCTGGCCTGCGGCAGCTTCAACCCCATCACCAAGGGCCACATCCAGATGTTCGGTTAGTCCCGCTGGGACCCCGGCAACGGTGCGGCGAGGAGGGGGAGGGTCGGGGCAGCACCGCGGGTGGGGGTCAGTGTTTGAGGTGCATTTTGGATGGTGCAGCCCCGTTCCCGGGGGTCCACGCGGCAGAGGCGGGGGGGTGGGGGTGGGGGGGAAAACCACGGGGCAACCCCAGCCGGGCGCTGTCCGCGGGGAGTGGTGCTGCAGGCGTCGCTGGCGGAGGCCGGTCCGGGCCTCGGCTCCGACCGCACCGATAAACCATCAGCAGAAGGGCTGGAGTCCAGCCTCGGGTTATGCTTCCCTTAAGATAGCGGGTTCTCCCCGCTTGCACTCACCTTGTCACGCTCCCGCCCCCAACAACCCCCCGGGGTCTGTCTTGGCAGGGGCTCCTGGTGGTATTTGTAACTTGCCACTTGCCCATTTGGTCTACTAGTCTGTGCTCGCTGCAGCACTTTTATATCCTCTGTGACCGGTGAGGAAGGGAGGGACTGGGCCAAGCAGCTAAAGATAGGTATGGCAGAAGCGTACAAAAATATAGGCAGTTAATTGAAATAATGGAATGCCCACCCTTTAGATTGATAATAGGTCTAAGGAATCTGAAATGCTCATGTGAGACGATTGATATTACTGGGCATCTGTGAGATGATCCAAATGATGGGGATGCTATAATCACTGCTACAGCCTGTTCAGGCAAGACAAGAGGGAGGGAGGAAGAGAATGAGGGAAGGATGGAGAAGGAGAGGGAGGAAGGGCAGCCTCGTTAAAGGCAGTCTGACACGCCATAAATACTGACAGTTCAGGTACATCTTGAAATGCCTGGAGATCCCTATGCAAACAGTGACCTACCTAGCATGGGAAGGAGTTCTGTGAGGGTGAAGTGTCCACTACAGACCACTGAAAAAAAATGGGAGTAGAAAGATCAGCTACTCTAATATCCCTTTTTGGAGTGCAGAAAGAGGAACCACCCTTGACGCCTGATAAGAGACTTGGGGCTGGGGAGCTGATGCTGAAGGTCTTGTGCTACAGCTGGAGAAGCATCCCTGGGGTTTCTAAGAGCTGTACATAAATTTCAAAGCACAAAAATAATTGATATCAGCTTGGGGTATTTCTGCATCAGACACTGTTTTCGTAGAACATAATGAGTTGGGCAGTAGGCTAGAAAAATGATGGTTTTTTTGGATGCAAATGATCACGTTGTTATTCCACTTCATAAGTGCCCGCAAAATGTAGCCCTGAGCACCAATGCACCAGAAATATCAAAAAATCCTATCCCAGAAGCTAAAAAGCTGCAAATAAGGAACAAGAGGAACTATTTAAAAATAAAAATAATAATTAAATGAAGTTACGGGGACTTGGCTGATAGAAGCAACTATTGATAAAACATAGTTTCTATAATTCACATTATTTAGTCCTAGATAACATTTTGATTAAGAAAAGTAATACTAAAAATATCAATGTGGCCCATATTCAGTGGACTAAAAACCAGTATCAAAGTATATTTTAAAAGATAAGGATCAGTGAGATATTGATAGGCAGCGGGTATTTTTAGGAGACTTGCAACGAGGTTTGTTTTTTTTTTTTTTCTCAGTACTGTTCAGTATCTTTGTCTATGACCTGGAAGAAAATACATAATCCCTGCCAATGACCCCAAAGTGTGTAGAATAGCAATTAATGATGGTAATGAGTCAGTTGTGCTGCCTGATTCAGGTTGTTTAATAAAAAGGACTTGTTCAAACAGTGAAGTCAAATGCAAAGTCATATGGTCCAGCAAGGAAGAATGCTTGTCAAACATAAACAACAGGCAAATGTCTTCTGCCAAACAGTGACTGTGTCAAGGACTGAAGAGTGATTGTACATAGCTCACTGAATACAAACTGTGTGATGCTGTAAATAAAGCAGCAAATACAATCCTTGTAGATATAAGCAGGGAAACATCAAGCAAAAGAAGAAAGGTTGTATTATTTTCCTGTATAGCATCAGCAAAATCCTTTTTAGAAGAGCAGTAATAAGAATTATGTTAGCTTCGGAAGCCAGGCTTTGTGGCAAGAATCTAGGAAGGCTCAGTCTGAATCTATCCTTAAAGGTGTTAAAGAGCAACTTAATAATGGCCTTTAAGTATCTGCTTTGGGGACAGATATGTCATATGTGATAGAAGGGGCCTCCTTAATTCAGTGGATTAAGGACTAGTGAGATGCCAGGAGCAGTCTGGGTACTGCACAACGTCAAACTACATATATGGTTTTGAGTGAAGATAATCAAGTAGGAGGACAAAGTACCTGGGTACCTGATGGATCCTCTGTCACCTGAAGGTTGTAAATCAAGACTTGGGTATCTTTCAGAAAGATATGTTTTAGCTCATACAGAATGGCTTGATGTAGAAATTTTGTATGCATATGTCCGGTAGACATGCTGGAATACAAGTCTTGAAATACCTGGTAGGGAAAAATGAGTCTTTCACAAGTAAAGGACACAGAATTTAGCTTCTAAATTCCTGTTCAGTTTTGTTTGAGGAACACTTTGCCCCAAGTCTAAAGGGATAATCAAGAGAAGCCATGGGAATCTCAACCAAAATCTGTGTTACTTGTTTAGCTCTGTGCTATGAGTCCAACCGAAACAGTACAGCATCCTGTAAATGTTGCATTTCAAACAGCTGAATTTCTGCAAAAATATTGTTTTTATCTTTTGGAAAAATATGTGGGGTTTGTGATCCTGACAGGAGGATTTTTTTATTTTTTGTGTAGTATAGAGAGATACAATTTATCTATTAACACATAGCACTAATTAAGCCAAAAGGAAGTATAAGATTTGCACTGTAGACATACCACTGTATGCTAACCATAATTTTTCTCAGTATGGTTCTTGCCATTTTTTATTCAGGCCAAAAGCCACCTTTGACAATAGGATTTTTGCCTGAGTGAGAGATGGGTTAATTGTTTGGAAGTCTCTTTTAGTGAGGGAAAGGTTTCCACTGACTTATTTTTTCCACCAGTCATGTGAATTTAAGACTCCGTATCACCATTATCCTTGGGTTTCCAGAAAGCTGGTATTCTTCTTACAATACCAGACCTGCAACTGCAACTCACCACTGACCCTTGCATCAGTGCAAAGCTGAATATATATAAACAGGGCTCCCACTGTCCTCTGCCAGTTACAAGACTGGGTAACTAGGACTCACCAGATGAGGCTGATTCATGTCTATGTATATAAAACTAATATCATACATATAAACTAATACTTAACATAAGATATATAATATATAATAAAAAAGTAGGTGAGATATGGTGCTGTACAGCCATCCATACGAAAGGGTTGAGACAAACGCCCACATAGCCCTGAAAACACTCCGAGTTATTTGTGGTATCAGATGTGCTTTGAGATATACTTATGTTCTGAGTCACAAATTTGAGTTGTATTTTCTAGCTTTATGAGGCTGTGAGAAACAGGATGCTAATGTGGTGGGGAGGAAAGGCAGGAGGAGAAAAGAGGGCAGAGGTTGTTTCTAAAACTTGACATGAACACTGGTGGCCTTTAGTCTGGAATAAAACTCCATTTATATCCCAAAGAGGTACAGAGAAGGAAAAGCAGATCCCATGCAAGAAGTTTTAGTAACTGGAGAAAAGTGAGATTCAGAAGAAAGTCCTGTGTAAAGCTGCATGAAAACCCCACTGCTGGCTGGTACTGGGGAGCTCAGCTGCTTACATTGGCTGGCATGGCTGATATACACCCAAACTCAAATCAATTCACTTTAATTTCCCACTGACACTCAGAGCAATACTTAGCATGGGATAGACGTTTCACCTGCTTCCCCTGCAGTGTTTGATATTGATTTATTTTTCCTGTTGTCTTTTCATTAATTTTTCTTAAACTGTAGAAGAAAAAGGCTTTCTGTAAATGCCCACTTTGCCCATTTTGGCAGGTTAGACGTTCTTTCTTGCCTTTTTAAAGTTCTGAAATTCCTTACAACCCAGCATTTCATATGCAAACTTCTGGTTTCAGGGGAAAAGTCTTGTTCACAAAACAGTTTTATTTCTGCCCCGTTCTAAGAGTAGCTTGACACAGATTCACTTCCAGGGCTTGGGTCACCTCTCAAAATCGACCCTTTCTGACACATCTCTGTCCCTCTTTATACCTCTGCTCATCAGAAATGTCATTCAGATGTGGCCTTCTCATGTGGTCTTGGTACCTTAGGTGTTTTAAACTTGCTTAGCCATAGCGTTTCACACCCACTTCATTTCAAACAGTACTTGGACCTGGATGAGAACAGAAAAACATAGCTTGTATATAGGGTGACTCCTGAAAGTCAACAAATCTCCACTGTTTTTCCCTTCTCCTCCTTTTTTGTCTTTAGAATTAATTTTTCCCTCTATCCTGCGTGCACATTATTGAAGAGAATTTATATCCCAACCAGGAGCTTGGCAAAAAGCATATCTGATGGAAGACAATGAAAGAGGACTCTGCCATCAAAAGTAAAACTCTCTGTTGCATGGCTTCTTAAGAAAATTTGAGCAATTAAAAATCCCACCAAGCTGCTTTTTGATTATTCAACACAGCCCTTCTAGAGGAGCAGCACTGAGGTCTGCTGCATCATGTAAAGAGGGTTGTGAGATGAAGGGATGCAGTTTTGCAAGTAAAAAGGTAAAGAGGGAGGAAGAGGCAGGAGCTGAGGCTTTTTGTAATGGTGTGTGTTTTTAATATCCTGAATTTCCAGAATTTATTTTTCTTATTTTGTTGAGATGACTGAACTGCAGAGCAGTTAAATGAGAATATCACCGGCTGGGACATTGCTGGGAGAAATGCATGAGCAGAATGACAGCTCACCCTTACCCCCTCTTTCCTCTTTTGCTTGAATGCCAATATATGTGCAAATGTCCAGAAGCATTCCCTCCCCCCCATCTAGCAAAAACTCATCAGGAGCTTGAGAGAGGCTTTGCCTCTGCCATCTGCAACATGAGTAAGAAGTCAAAGCCTCTGCAAGGCTGCCTCATGTTTCCATTTTGTCTCCAGCCTGAAATCTGAATGTGTAATTAACTGGAGCAATCGATGGAGTGAGAGGTGGGTAATGGGATTCTGGGAGGACATGACAGTCAGTCCGGTCCTGATTGAGTCCCAGCTGTGCTCTGCATAGCTTTGGCACGGCTCAGGGAGCTCAGGCAGCACAGGCAGAGGGGCAGTGGAAGGATCAGACCTGGGGCAGAGCCAGAACAGACATTACTTGTAACACCCTGGTTGATTTATTGGACATGGGGAGTTGTAGCATCCATGCTCACCTCTCAGCAGCTTAAGCTGATGCTGGACAGGCACTGCAACACACAGAGGAGCTTCCACTGACACCCAGGCTGCTGAAATCACAGCAAACAGCCAAAATCTTTCACAGGTGCAAAGGGTCTGGTAGGGCCCAGCCACGTGCTCCTGGCTCTAAGTGGTGGCAAACAGTGGAACCTGTCAGCCCAGCCTTGTGCCTTGGCTAGTGAGTCACCGACACACCTCCACTCCCAGCACTTGACCAAAGTGTGCTGACACTGCAGTTTCTTGGGTGCTGTGCCTTGAGGGAGAGCAGGACTGCAACACCCATGGCTCTTTTGGGTGCTATTACATATCAGTTAATGTCACATTCCCATCACTGTACCCCATACATACATGGTCTTTATCACCAGCTTCTTATATCTCAAGCATCTCATCTCCTGTTTATGGCCCAAAGAGAGGAGTTTTCCCAAGCATCAGATTAAACTCCATCAATAACTACTCAGGGATTCTTTTAAAATATTTATAAGCTCTTAAATATTTAGCAGTATTTATTACAGTCTGTGAGACATTGTCTCTGACAATGCCACCTCCCAAAATATGCCACATACCTCCTTTTACTTCCACTGACTATAAACAAATCCTGCTGTGAGAAATCCAGTCCTACAACCTCATTCAAGAAACAGGGGCCCACTTCTATTTAAAAACTGTTTTCACTTACTAAGGTGCTCATACCTCCTGCATCATCTTTTCTGATACTTTTTCACAGCAGCTGCGCAATGCTGAGGGTATCAATTACCTCAATGTTAAACACCAGCAGTGGCAGTCCATGTCTCTCATGTGACCTTGGGCAAGTGACTTTATCTGTCCCAGCTGGTGCAATGAGGGGGACTTGCATCTCAGCTTTCCCTACCAGGCTGCTGTGGGCTTGTGTCAGGTACTGTAGTGATGGGGAACACAGGTAGAAGCAGCTCACCATTAGGCTGATCTTTGTGCATCTGAGCAGCAGCTGCCCCAAAACAGACATCCTCATGCTTGCATGTTCTGGCCTTCAAAATGCCTTCTGTCAGCAAGGCAGGGGGGCTACAAGAGGTCCCTGAGCCGAGGTAGAAGGCACAGCCATGCACTGGAGCCAAGGTCAAGATCACGTCCCACCACTTGTGGCGAGGGATGGCAAGGGGCAAGCAGAAGCAGTCCAGCTGTGTTGAATGTGCAGCAAAAGTAACCTGAACCTTAACCCTAAGCCTAACCTTAACCCTAACCTCCACCTGGGACCAGGGAGCCAAAAGCAGCTACAGAAAGACCTGACAGAAATGATGGCGAGAATGGCAAGGCTGCTCTGTATTTTGAGATGAGCATGCCTTCTCTGGCTTTTATAACCCATGAATTCAAGCTTTCCTGTGATGCCAGAAGTGCCCAGCCAAGCAGGGATAGATTTTCGGTGTGCCTGGCATGGAGAAAGCCGGGCAAAGTCAGTAGTGCCCATCACAGCCCTGAAAACAAACCAGGAACAGGGTACAACTGTAGTCCCCCACAGAGCAGCTTTGCTTGCATTTTTTGATAGTGTGCAGTCGTGACTGGAGAAGATAAACCTAGGTCAGGAGCACTTTTTTCTTTTTTTCCTCTCCCTTTTCATCAACTGATTTCCTTCAATACGCCTGAGCTGCTGGATGTAGCTTGGTCACACCAGCAAAAAACTGATAAATCCACACTTTGGGAACAGAAAAATCTGGAGTCTTTCAGAATACCTATTTTCAAGAGCCACTATAGGGCTTGCCCCACAGGAGGAGAACTGGGATAAGTCGGTTTTGGAGCTGAAGTAGGAGGCAAATGCAGAGGAACTGCTCACAGGATGGGTGGAGAGCCCATCTCTGAGCCAGACAAGGAAGGACTTGCTCAGTGACGGCTCCACAAAGGTTTCTGCTTTCATTGAAAATCCAGCAGCCCCTAATTGAGCTTAAGCCATCCCTGAGGAAATAACATTTTGCTAGGGCTTATTGGCAAGAGAAGTTAGAAAATCCAGTTTTTCCAGAAAAATCTCACAAGCTGGGCTGGGAATGCCAAAAGGCATAGCTTTACTTCTGGTGCCTTCGCTCTGTGCAAAGGCATTGTTGATTCTTCTTCTGCGGAAATGGAGTCTCACGAATAGATCTATGAAAGAGAGGGTTTTGCTGAGCCACACAGCCAGGCAAGACACAGCAGCAGGAATGGGAACATGACCACTACAAGGCTGAAGTCCTACCTTGGCTGCCTTCACCACTCCATACAATCACCAGCATCCCCCTGGCCTTTCTGCATTTCTGTAGATGGGATGTTTTCTGCCTGCGCAGTCCTGGTTCAGCCAGTGCAGATTCTTGCCAGGATCAGCACCTTTGGATGCTTTGCCAGCAAAGACAAACCATGGGTCAAACTCACAGCACAGGGATCAGCCCCACGTAGAGGCAACCCAAGACCAGCAAAGAGCCACGAGGCAAATGCTCCCCATCTCTATTCCACTGGGAATCAGGGACTGTAAATCTGCCACTCCTGGGAAGGTTATGATCCTGCCACGCATCAGCCTGAAGGAGCAGCAGTACATGCGCCAGGGTGTACAAAGCACTGCCTTTGATGTACTACAATGGCTTGGAAGTGAAAACAGAGTGCTTGCACGGGGAAATTAGGGTAGTGGAAAACAAGCATGGAAAGCTTTTTTTTATTATTTTTTAATTATTATTTTTATTTTATTTTTCCATTCCATTAAGAAAAAAAACCAAACAAAACAAAACACTAGGTGACGCTGATTTCCCAGCTGGTGGCTAGCTGAGATGGGACCTCTCCAGGGAAGAACACTGAGGTGCCTGTCCTACTTCAGATGTGCCACCCACATCCTGGTGAAAGGGAAATACAAAATCAGGCAGGATAATGAAAATATTCACTAAGGGCCTTTTGCTGCTACCCTTGTCCTGTTTGACTCTATCCATGGGCCCATGGCAATAAAAATCATTTCCAAACAGAGCAGTCAGGACTATTTGGAACACCCTCCCCTCTGCTTGCCAAACAGTTTATTTTTGCTCCTGATATTTAGATTCTTATCAAAGCTGAGATAGAGCCACAGAATACCAGCTCCAGGCCAGATTTGCTTCGCAAATTGATGTTGCTTTACTGTGGGTGGCACATTTACATCACTTTACACCAGCTGGAGAGCTGTTAGCCTTGAAAACCCTATAGGAGAGACGAATTTCAGCTGAAATCACTGCAACTGCTTTCTGCCCAGTCTATCTGCAATGACGCTTATTCCTCTAGTTTGTAGTTAAATAAACCCAAGTGCTCAGAAGAACATTTACAACTATTGCTGGCAAATGCACCTTTTGGCACATTTCTCTCTAAAAATCTAAGGAAAGTACTACACTGGAAGAGGAAAACTTATTCCACTCCACCATGCTACAGTGTGCATGCTGTACTCCTTGCTGACTTACGGAGTGGCCAGCTAATGCACCAGCCACAGAACAGTTCACTTCAATGCCATGCACACACTCTTCTTACCTGGAGATGCTTAATCCCTCTCTGAAGGCTTCTAAGCAAGGTGCTTCCATGCTGTCTTGTAGCAGGAAGCCCAAAAAATATCCTTCTTCAAATGAGGTCTTCATCCATTTTTATCTGTTAAGAGTTGTTTCTACCAGGGTGCTTCCCTTTACCTCACCAGCTGAACACCTCTAAGATGCCCAGGCAGCAGATCCGGGTGTCAACTACCAGGTGGAAGGTGGTCCACCTTGGCAGAACTTAGATGCCCATCCTTCAGGTGAGACCCAGTGAGGGGCTGAGCATGTTCCTCCTCTCCTTGTGATACCAGGATGGAAATCCCTGGGCAATAAATTGTATCACTTTTCCTTAGAAGTGGTGAGAGTGACAGCACTGTGCGTATCAGCTGCCTGACATAAAAGTAGATTCAGTCCCTACCTGGGAGAGCTGGGGGCAGCTTCAACTCGAGAAGCAGCTGTCCCTAATTATTCTCATGTTGCTCACCTCATAGGTATTGCCTGCTCCCACCTGCTGCACCAGAGCAGGGTGGGATTCTCCAGTGCCAAAATGTGCTTTGGCTTGGATTACTTTGCCAGACTCTTCCTCAGATGCTTCTTCTCAAGCTCTGGGGCCTGGAGAGTTTCTTCCTGGGCTCTTGTGTGCCTTCTCACATGCACCACCCCTTGCAGAACTCCAACTGTGAAAAGAAAAGGGGAAAATAAGATGCTTTCAATTTAAATTTCAACTTCAATGATGTAAAATAAGTTTCATCTGGAAACCCAGATCACCTGCAACCAGCCAGGTTCCCTGCCCAGGCCCCATTTTGTTGGGTCTCTAGTGAATGCTTTGCTATTTTTAAGTCAGCTCACTGTGACTCAGCCTTCAACCTTTTTTGTGGTTTGGGGTTGGTGGTTTTTTTGGTTTTTTTTTTGGTGGGGGGGGTGGGTTTGGTGGTTTTGTTTGTTTGTTTGTTTGTTTGTTTTAAACATTTTATCTCACTTTTTCTGCCATGAAACCATGAGTGGTCAACAGATGGTGATAGCATGAGTCCTGTTAGTCATCACTCAGGTGGCTGTCAAAGTTGGAGGCTGGTGGGGAGCCTGGTTGGGCTGAGAGGTTGGAGGGTCAGATGCTGCAGTGTCAGTTCTCTGGGGCCTTTCATAGCATCTGCTTCCATGAGGAGTTTTGAGATATTTGGTGGCCAGTGCTTTTTTCAGCTTATGGAAAGCTATTAAAAGAAATGTGCAGCAATGACTGGAGCCATTTAGCATGGAAGTCCCTTCCAAATTTGCTACTTCTACGGTGCCTGGGTGCAGCTATGGGCTGACAGGGGGTGGTGAGGAAATGCGTAACAGATCAATTAGCTCGGAGATGAAAATCATTAAGTATTAGAGGCTTAATAGGATTTTTCTACCAACCAAAAGCCTCCTGGGAATCTGACTGACATCATCTATGAGGCGCTGAGCTTGAGGCAGGACATGCTGTTTGGGTCAGTGGGACACACTGGTATCTCCCCAGGCTTCCCTTGAGAAGGGTCAACCCTGTGATGAAGAACAACTCTCTCCCTCTCCTCCAGATTCTTTCCAGAAGAAAAAAACTTCCCTGGAGAGTGGTCAGGGCCTGTTCTTCTGGTAGAAATGTTGTCCCTCCAAGAAGTCCAGAGTGCCAGTGTTTTCCCCAACTCTGTGGTGCAGCTGTAGGTGAGGTGTGGATAAAGACACTGGTTGGGGCAGAAAAAGTAGCCCTGGGGTAGGGAGAGGTGGGCTCTAAGATGAGTACATCTCTGATTAATGTGTTCTTGATTTGGAGTTCAGAGTTATATATATATATATATGATTTGGGATTTTTATATATATATGTATATATATATATATACACATACACATGCACCACTTAATTAGGCTGAGAGTAACTGCTGGCTCCTTGCCAGAGTTGGGCTCGGGCTAGGAAGCAACATTTAGGTCCTGCAAGTGCTGCTAGCTCGAGAATAAAACAAAGTGTGCTGGCGTATCTGGGTCACTCTCTCCTGCAGGAGAAGGTATTTTAGACAGCGGGAAAGCACTTGCCTTGCCCTTGGCACATGTGGCTGCATCCCACCTCCCGTCTAAGGATGCTGGAAGCCAAATTGCTCAAAATGAAAATGGGACATCAGGGAAATGGTTTTGCCTTCTCCATCACTCATGGCTGTGCACCCTCCTCTGCGCTGGCTCTCAAAGAGCGATTTAGACTGCAAAACTTCCTTGCCTCACTGCTACTTTGTGTGTGTTTTTAGAGAGCTGGTGCAGAGCATGAGCAGGCTGCAGGCTCCCCCCTGGGGAGAAGGGCATAACTCAGAGTTGGCTGGTGGCATTCCTCTGTAAAATAAAAATATAAGCAAAAAGAAGAAGGAACTCTCAGTGGTGTAGCTGAACCAGGTAGAAAAGCAAAGCAAACACAATTTAAAATTACACCTTGAAAAATTGAACATGAGGCATATTTGATTTCATTAACATCAATTTAGGTGATGGAGCAGTGCCAGAGCAGCCAAAACATTGTGATTACATACACTTACTGAGAAACACCAAAGGGAAACATCTTTTAAATAAGCACTTATTTCCTATTTGGGAAGCAGGAAGATATTTTTTCATTCAGTCTGGACAAAATCATCACTTACCATTTCTGTAGCCCTGGACCGTACCCTCTGTTTTTCCTCACTGTTCCCTTGCAGGAAAGTGGTGGTGCCAAAAATATTTGAAATGCAGTTGCAGGGGAGAGGGAGCAGCAGGGAGGTGTCACCAGTGCTTGGAAAAGGTCTGAGTGTCACCCCTGTTTGCTCCCCAACATAGCAAGGCTAAGGTCAACCACCAGCTGCCTCAGAGGGGTTGTGCTGGGAGGCATGGAGCTGGGAGCTGTGGCTGAAAGGTCTCCACTACACAAGCACACTGCCAGTGGGCTAATGGATGTCTTGGCTGGGTCCATCACTGGTAGTTTATTTATGTCAAGAATGTTTAAAAGCCATGCGGGCTGTCTGAAGCATTAAGGACAACTTACACTGGAAAAGAAATAACCTTTTCTCTTCTAACCCAACATCTTTGCATTGGTGTTGCAGGCTATAAAGTGCTCATAGAAAATGAAAACACCAGAGGGTGTTTTCTGAGGTGCAGTGTGGTCTCTGGACATCACAGGCACGAAATGGTCCAGGAAAGGGGTGGGACAGAAGGCTGAGCTCAATGACAACAAATTGGTCAGAAATGCAACAAACCAATAAAGAAGCACACTGAGACTCCTGAGACTGATGGCTTTTCTGACCAAAATCTACTCTTTCCCAGGCAAAAATCTTTGCACAAGGGGGGGGGGGAGGAAGTCAGGAGCTGCATAGACTGTTGAGTGTAAGGAATACAGATGATAAGAAGAATACAAACCTACTGCAGTGTGTTTGGCATTAGCCATGTCTGCAGGGAAACCACAAACCTGATCACCCCAAGCAGCGTCTTTTGCATGAAAGACACAAAAGAAAAATAGTACAAAAAGGCCTTTTTTGAGAACATGGACCTAGGGATTTTGAGGAAGCACCACACTATCAGAGCAGCCACAGCAGTTCAAACTTATGACCCAGCAAACCTAGTGTCCCATTTCCAGAAACCCACAAGAATGACCACAGCCATGCTTGCGTGTGGAGCTCCTCAGCTTAGCCTCATACCATGCAATGCCCTGGTTTCTTCATGTTGGAAGACTCAAGGACAGCAGAAGACCTGAGGGCAGAAGAAGTCCCAAGGATGGCAGGAGATCCAAGGACATCAGGAGAGTCACCTGCTTTGCCCTTTCTGTGCCAGCCATGATTTCCATTCTGTCTCCCTGTCCTTGCTGCCCAACTTCTACCTGCTCCTCACATGGAGCCACATTGCTGATCACCCATCGTTTCAAGGTGCTGCGACCCACACTTCCTCCTGCACATGGCAGGAGGTGTTGCAACTACAGCCTGGGGTGGGGAATGAACTACCAACATCCCTGAGGTCTCTTACAAGACCTAAAGCCATTTTATCTTGCCTTGTACAGAGGATATGACTCAAGGCTTGATGAGCTGACACATTCTAACAGGCTTGGCTATGGCTGCTGGTTGCCCTCTCCATTTAGCCACTGAAGCCAGTTTAAGAAGAATCAATCTGTAGAAAAAATAAACGAAGATTTAAACACAGCATCATGGTTACAGTGTGGAAGACCCTAGATGCTGCAAACTAATGCTGCAGTCTTGCGGCTGAAGCCATGGTTGGCTGAAGCCTTCCCTGGATTCTCTGCCCCAGCAGTGAGGGTGGCTCTGCTGCAGTGCCAGCCCTGCTAGCAGTACAGCTCCTCTCCAAATGGGATTTGAGACGTCCTTTAAGAAAACACAATCTTTTTAAAGGCTTTTGCTTTGAAGTGGACGGCTGTGAAGGTCTGGCTTAGATTATGATTACATGAACAAGCAAACCAGCAGAGCCATGAGCAAGCCAGTACAGTTACTCAGTGGATGCAGCCCTACAAGCAAATGGATGTGCACTGCCTCAAAACCAAATGAGAATGCACCAGTTTTAGAAGTGAAGAGATGCTCTGCAAGTTGTAGGCAAGGCAGGACCAGAAGGCAGGTCTTCCCATTCATGGTTCAGACCTCTCTTTGCCACACCATACTACTGCTTTATAGCCTGCACATTTGTCCGAATACTTCCCTTGCAGAGATTTAATAGTCAGAGGGGTTTGTTTTGGTTTTTTTTTGTTGGTTTGTTGTTTTTGTCAATGCATATTTAAATTCTGTTTGGTATTTCTGATGTAGACATCAAGCTCTTAAAAATGTAGATCCCAACTTTTATATATCTACTTCAGAGAGCAACATTGTTTTTACAGGTTTCTGTAAATAATATTGTGCAGGTTAAAAACCAAATGAACAATTCTGATCGCAACGCTGAGCACCAACGTCCATCTCCTCCCAACAGCACACCCTCTGAGTACTGCGAGGCCAGTGACACCTCAGCATCCCATAGGATCTGTCCTGCTGAAGCTGTTTGCCTTGCTGTAGAAACAGGCAAATATTTTTTCCATCTGCAGTTCCAAGTATTATACAGGTTTCCAACCTTGGGTTTCCAATCATTTGCATATATATGTAAGAGAGGAGCTGTTTTCTGCAGGATAAGACGTTTTATGAAGGCAGGCAATGGTGGTAGAGATTGGCATGAACTCCTGAGAGCAGGAGCTGAGATGATGTGCCACCTGCATGGATTACACTACCTGAAGATCCATGCTTGGTGCTGGGGTGTTTAAATATAGACCTTGAGAAATTGACAGGCAAAATTGTTGGTTTTTGCCAGCAAAATTCAAGGCAAATTAATACCATCAGTCACCCTTGAGACTGTGGAGTTATGTGTAAGGAGTTCAGCTTGTCTAAAGAGGGAACTTTATAAAGGTGCAGTACAAGGCATGGAGATAAACGGATCAGTGTTTTTTATCTTCTTTAGACAAGTAAAATCAAGTCAGGGCAAAGCAGGGATAACGAAATGATGTGCTCATTTAAAACACAGTGGCATCTTTTCTGTTAGGAAATTTCCTTTTTATTTTGATTTGCATTTTTAATTGCATTACAATATAAAGGTAAATGGTGGTCCATTGATATTGACTTCTCTGCACATCCGAAACCACAGCTCTCCTGTGAGACAGCATGCATCAGGGAGGATCCACTTTGGCTTTTTCAAGACCATGCCTGGATTTTGTCCCTGCATGATGGCAGCTGGCTCCAAGCTTTCCAGTTGTCTTCTTGCATGTGCTTCCAAGGTGTTTAGGGTAGCTTTCCTGTGAACCTCCTCTGCTTGTAGGCTCATCCAAAACCAATTCTTCACTCCTTTTAATTCCTCTTCCAACATCATAGCTCAATTCTTTACAGTTTTTTTTGGGAGTTTTTTTGCTGTAAATGTCTCTCAGTGATGTTTTCTGTAACTTACGCCTTTTCTTTTCAATCTAGAAGAGGTCCTGGAACATGATTTAGGTGAAAGATACCAGAAAAAGCAGAATCAGGGAAAAAATGGCCTTTTTTTTTTTTTTCTCTCACTCTTGATTGATTAACCTTGAAGGCACAGATGGAAAAGCCAGTAACATCAATAAAGGCAAGCACAGAGCATTGGAAAGGGAGAAGTGCTGCTGGTATGCCCTGATTCTTCTTTTTAAAATACAGAATGGAGAAGAAAGAGGTTTTTTTTTTCACATTTGGCTTTCTGGGCAAGTGGTTACTGAGGGCTGCCATGGTGTGCTGCAAAGGGAATCCCAGCACCCATGGAGTTTTATGGTTTAACTTATGGTGCTGGTTCAAAACCCCTCATGCATGAAAAAGAAAAAAAAAAAAAGGATAAAGAAAATCCCCAGAGTACTGTATTTTTGTGTGTATGCTCCTCCAGAGGGTGCTTTTCCAGATACCCCATGAAGCACCGATAATCATAGTCATGCAGAGTTGGGTTTGGTCCCTTCACTGCACCAGTGAAACCCGCTGACAGATACAGGTGCTCCCACACAGGTCTCAGCAGACAAATAACCAGCAAAGATGAAAAAATATGGTTCAAACCAAACTGCTGGAGTTAATCCCTTCAAGCTCAGGATTTTGAGGGCAGGGAGGGAAACTTTCAGTACATCTAATTCAGGCAATTGGATTTTACTCCCTGCACTGATCATATGATACAAGCCCTTGTTTCTCCCTCTTGGGGCTGGCATGCCCAGGGCACAAGAGCTGGGATGGAAGCCAAGGAAGGGATTTCAGGTGAGTCTGAGGAAGAGGTTTTATCGAGGCTGGCAAATCTGGGGCCTGTGGCTGCTCAACATGCTGGGAAGGGGGGAAAGTCCACGGCAACTATAGTTCCTTTGTTGAATTTCAACCGGCCCCCAATGTGCCTGGGGAACAAGGCAGTTGCAATACACCTAGAGGGAGAGTTTGCGTAAAGAAAGTGGGTTATACAGCTGCAAAAGCTTGGCGGCAGGTGTTATTGCTGCTGTGACCTGAAAAGATGGGACTTTCCATCTCCAGCATCAGTGTCAAACTCTCTTTGCTTCCCTGAGAGCATCTTCAGAGAAGCACTGGGGTGCGAATGTATGTGCTCTGGGTCAGGGGAGGGATGTTGGATGTGGGAGGAGGCACCCATGGGAGTTTAGCAACTCTTCACCAGCATTTTTATCCTGCCTTTTGGAAATGCCAGCTCAAGGCTGTGCATCAGGCTGAAGGGTCTCTGGTAAATCTCTTGGTGTGGTGTGACACAGGGAGGGAGTGGTGTCAGAGCCATGTGGCTGTTGAGAGACTAGCTGAGGTGCAGGTGGTGGGTACCACAGAAAGGGGACCTGGGGAGAGCCCAAGGATGACTCAGCTGACACTAAATAGCATGTGTTGGTGGGGGGAGGAGCAAGAATTTGAGGGAGAAAGGGCTGAAAGTCAAAGGAGTCAAGTGTGTCAGGAGGTAAAAGCATCATGGTGAAGAGCAGTGACGAACATGGGTGCAACCCTATGAGGCATTGACAAAGAGGTTTTTAGAAGAGGAGGACATAATTGTCATTGCCCAAAGCCCAGGGCAGCCCTGCCTGCAGGCAGAGAGGGAAGCAGGATGAACGGCTGCATCAGGACCAGCCCAAGGAAGGAAGGAAGAGAAAAATAGTGGTGGGAAAAGTGCCCAAAAGCAAGTGAGACTTTGGGCACTGGCTGGTAACTGTGGCAGGGACCATGCTGTGAGTGACACTGCAATTGCTCTCATAGCGGAGCTGCTGTTCCCCAAACAGACAGCTCCATCTGTCTGTTCAAGACCACACAGGGTAGACCCCAGGAGCCCATATGCAGGGCATTTGAGCCCCCACTTCCCAGTGCATGCAGAAAAGGCTTCCCCCGTCCCACTGGGATGATGTGCTCTCAGACCAATACTTCCACTCCTCTATCAAGGCTTCATACTGCAGGAGCAGCTCCCAGCAACTATTTTCCGTGAGTTGGATCAAGCAAGGGGTGACCAGAGTCTGAGCAAGCAGGGATAAACCTGTATTGGAGCTAGAGGTCAGGAGCTCACCAGCAGCATCCCAGCACTTTCCAGGAGAAAGGAGCAGATGTGGACAAACATCTTGGTTCTGTTGTGGTGCTCCTTTTGGTGAATTCTTCAGTATTTCCAAAACAGTAGCACATGAGGTGTTGGTCTTGTGGTGAGGATGGCAGGTATCCATCTGTGCTAAGCACCTGTGCATAAAGCCCTGTATGAGATGGCAATTCTTATACAGACTGTCAACCAGCAGCGCATCTTAAAATCACAAACTCACAGCATGGTTTGGGTTGAGAGTGACCTTCAAGGATCAGTTAGTCCAAACCTCCTGCCATGGACAGGGACATCTTTCATCAGGTTCCTCAAAGCCCCATCCAACCTGAACTTCAATGCTTCCAGGGATGGGCCATCCACAACTTCTCTGGGCAACCTGTTCCAGTGTCCTACCACCCACATTGTAAAAAAATTTCTTCCTTGTACCTACCTAGCTCTACCCTCTTTTACTTTAAAACTGTTGCCCCTTGTCCTGTCACTACAGGTCCTGATTAAAAAAAAAAAAAAAAAATCTCAATTTTTCTTAGAAGCCAACTTTATGTATTGGAAGGTCACGAGAGGGTCTTCCAGAGCTTTCTCTTCTCCAGGTGAACAACCCAACTGTCTCAACCTTTCTCCAATTCTTAACCTCTCTGACCATTCCCATGGCCTCTTTTGGTCCTCCTCTAACAGGTCTATGTCTATCTTATACTGGGGCACCAAGAGCTGAATGCAGTACTCCAGGTGGAGTCTCAAGAGGGAGGAGTAGAAGGGGAGTATCCTGTCACTGGACCTGCTGGCCACAGTGCTGGTGATGCCCCCAGGACATGATTGGCTTTCTAGGAAACAAGCACATGCTGCTGGCTCATGTTCAATTTATCACCCACCAGTATCCCTTTCTCAGCAGGGCTGCTCTCAATCCATCCATCCCCCAGTCTGTAATGATTTCCTCCTGCAGGGGTTGCAGCCAGACACTGACATATGAGCCAGCAAGTTTTCTGCTCACAAAACAACAGGGGTGTCCTTGTACCCCAGTGGTAGCAAAGGCAGTGGGTTTTGTCATTATTCAGTTGGGTTTTTTAAGTTCGATCGTATCGTTGGGCTCCTTGTCAAAGTGATGGTTGAGGTTAGGAGATGCTTTCCAGCTGTTAGGAAAGCTTTTGGCTTATAGCAAATCGTAGCAGGTGAGGAAGGGAGAAGTTATGAGGAGAGAGAGGATGAACACAGCTTATGGGCAGAGAAAAAGGAAAGGAAAAAGGAAAGGAAAGGGAAGGGAAGGGAAGGGAAGGGAAGGGAAGGGAAGGGAAGGGAAGGGAAGGGAAAGGAAAGGAAAGGAAAGGAAAGGAAAGGAAAGGAAAGGAAAGGAAAGGAAAGGAAAGGAAAGGAAAGGAAAGGAAAGGAAAGGAAAGGAAAGGAAAGGAAAGGAAAGGAAAGGAAAGTGAATGAACCAGCTTCATGTCTCTCCTCGTGAGCTCAGTTCCTCCAGAGCTGCTATAAGAGCCTGGCTCTGCAGAGCAGTTCTTGTTAATGACGCAGGCTCTCGGCTGTCCCTCTGATGTCCTGACAAGGTGGTTGAAGGCGGTTTTGAGTCTGAAAGTGATTTAGCTTTTGCTAAAGACCTGCCTTCTTCCACCAAATCCTCCTCCATGCAAGGTTTAAGATCCCCAGGAAGGTCCATGCTCAGCATCCCCAAGGATAGCACTGAATGAAATGGATCGTAAAAATGAAGCCAGCCCTTCACTTGGTTGCCTTCCCTACCCAGTACAGCCAGAATGAGCTGCTCCATGGGCATTGGACAAAGCCAGTAGGCAGCAGTGGGGCATTATGGGACTCAGTGTGTCCAGTTGAATCCTCCTGCACCCTTTTTCTTGTCCTTCTCCTTCAGAGCGAGCCCGGGATTACCTGCACAAGACCGGACGCTTCATCGTCATTGGTGGCATTGTCTCACCCGTGCACGACTCCTATGGGAAGACGGTGGGTTGTCCCCATTCTCCCTTTCTGCTGCCTATATGTTATGGTATCTCTGAAGCCAGGGTCAAGCACTGGGCAGCACTGCATGCACCTGTCCTTTCATGGATCTCCTCTGCACAGGGTAGCTCTGGACCATGGGAAGGTCTCCAAGGGGAGAGAGATTATGAAAACACTCACTCTTTAGAAACTGCAGCAAGACCCTATAACCAGCCAAAGTACTAGACAGCAAAAAGAAATGTTCTCTCCCAAAGTGCTGGTGTTGATCTTGTTGGGTTGGTTTGGACTTTAGGGTTTTTTGTAGTTTTTGTTTTTCTGAATGATTTCAAAGCAACAATGCAAACAGGGGCCTTTAAAAGCACTTTCTAGGGTGGGGAAAATCCAGATTAGGAGAGTAAAGAGTTTTCTCTCCTGAAAGCTGTAGAAATTTCATCAAGAAATCACCATCCCCATTCTGGCATCACTGTAGTACAGGCCTGAGAGTGGTGGTGCTGAGAAAATATCACTGACCATTGCATAACCAGGGCTTAAGCAAGTCAGGGACTCCTCCCCTCCAGCAAACAGGAATTTGAATAAATTTCTGTGAGCAGGAGAGAGTCCTTATGGCCTGTCTCATCTGAATGAGCCCAATGCTCTGCCCGGGAGAGTTTGCAAGCCAAGGCTGGCCACTGCATCATGCTTGCTTCCCATAACTGTTCCTCCATCACCCTCTCTTGCAGGGCCTGGTTTCAAGCCGGCACCGCCTGACCATGTGCCAACTGGCTGTCCAGTCCTCCGACTGGATCAGGTGAGTGCAAGAGCCCACAGCTGCAGCAGCACCAACAGCCCCTGCCCCTTTCCTGGCACTGTGGTGGTAAAGTCCTGCATGGAAAGTGGAAATGCCACCAGCTGCTAGAGCTCCAGGATGGACTTTCTCTCCCAGCCAAAGCTTAACTAAAAACTGGAGGTCTTCCTCTCCTAGTCCATCAAAGAACAGATAAGTGTTACACCATCCTTCAAGGGAGCCCTTTGACTTCAGGGGATCTTGCCACCCCCCAGCTTCCCCATTGAATCTCTGGTGTCTGGGTAGGCTCAAAGTCACCCAGCCCACCCCAGACTTGTGCTGTGGCACCTCCCCTTTCTATACCTGTAGCACCAGCCCACAGTCTCTCCCCTTCCCAGCACTGCCATGTGGCATGTGGTGGCTGAGGTGGGATCTGAAACATCTTTGGGCTGTCCTCAGAAAACAGGGTTGTAACAGATGTAGTTACATCCAAACCAATGAAAGCTGTTTAGCTGGGGACGGAGAGTGGATAGATGTCCAGGCACATATTCAGGTCTCCAGAGCTATTTGAGAGAACAGAATCGGAGAGCTAAAGGAAGGACATGGTCCATGGCAGTGCTGGGCGAGTGATGGTGGCTGCTCATGGCACTGCTTGGCTGGCCCAGTGGGGAGGAAGCAGCATGGCCAGGAGGTCAGGCAGTGAAATCAGCCAACCGTGTTGCCTTGCTGTGCTCCACATAGGGTGGACCCCTGGGAGTGCTACCAGGACACCTGGCAGACCACTTGCAGCGTGCTGGAGCACCACCGCGACCTGATGAAGGTGAGGCAGCCCTTGTGCCGTGGATTCACCCGGGGTGAGGCTGTGGGGAAAGTGCAGGAGTGGGGTGCTCTTGCACCAGCATATGCACATCAGCAACTGAAATATGGCTGGGGCAGGCAGACAGATGACATGCAGGAACATGCCTGTAATCCTGACCCACAAGAGGTGTGAGATACTTTGTCAGAGCCACTTTGAGCTCCTAGCACTGATGGCAAAAGCAAATTGAGCCCTCCAGCTGGAGCCAGCAACAATCTCAGGCCCATGCACACCAGGAGGGGAGTGCGGTGAAGGAGAGGATGGGCATAAGCCAAATCATTAATGTGGAGTGTTTGCTCTACCCTGAGGGACAGAGAGGTAGATGAGTACCCCCACTCACCAGTGTTGTGGTTTAAGCATGGCCAGCAATTAAGTACTTAATTGCTTCCTACTTACTCTTTCCCATCCCCAGTGGGATGAGGAGGAGAATCAGAAGAAAGTTTAAAACCCATGGATTGAGATAAATACAGTTTAGCAATTGAAATAAAAGTAAAACATAATAATTAATAAAGATAAAAGGAAATAAAGAGAGAGGGAGGGAGAGGAAGGAATAAACCCTGCCTCCCTTACCCCCAAAAAAAACCAAGTGATGCACAATATAATTGCTCACCACCTGCCAACTGATACCCAGTGCGACCCAAGCAGTGATCTGGGCCTTCCGGGTAATTCTCCCCACTTTATATCCTGGGCATGACGTGCTGTGGTATGGAATACCCCCTTGGCTAGCTTGGGTCAGGTGTCCTGTCTCTGCTTCCTCCTGGCTTCTTGTGCCCCTCATCAGTGACAGAGCATGAGAGGCTGAAAGTCCTTGATCATGATAAGTGCTACTGAGCAACATCAGTGTGTTAACAGCATTGTTCTCCAATTGAAGCCAAAACACAGCATTGCACCAGCTACTAGGAAGAAAGTTAACTCTAACCCAGCTGGAACCAGGACAAGCAGCTAAGATGAAACCGATATATGAACCTGACAGAGTGACTCAGCAGGCAAATCCAGCATTTGAGAAGTCCCTGGAGAGCACAAAACCCAGGACAAAAAGTCCCTCCAAAGCCCAGGCAGGCCTGAGAGCCAAGGAGGAAGGTGACTGCCCTTGGGTTACTGCAGGGAGGGGGGAGCAGGACTGCTGCCAACACTTGGATATAGTGAGCAAATCAAGGACAGGAAATGGATAAAACAGCATCATACAATCTCACGGGCAGCCCAGACAGGAGGCATAGAAGAAGCATTAACCAGCCTGGCAGGATGTCTAGTGCATCCAGGGACTCTGGTGTCAAAGCCAGGGAGCCTCTGGAGATGCTTTCCTTGTCCTGCAGGGACTGGTGAAGGAAAAGAGGTCACATTTGCTCCCAGGATAATGTGTAAGCTGCTGGCTTTGCACCACCGAATCATCAGACACTATTTTTATTTGTTCATCAGCAGTTATGAGCACCTCCATGTGTCAGGGGCAATGCCAGCTGCAGGCAGCATGGCTGCAGCCCTGCCAGCCTCATGGGTGCACACAAAAAGTTAATCCCACCATACCCAGCCTTAATCACAAGTCATTATTCACAGGGTCCTGCTAGCCCTAGCTCTATGTGGTGAGGTTGGAAGGGGCTGGGGATCCTAAAGTGAGGCTGGAGTTACGTGTCACTGGAGATAACTTCAGCTTGGGTTGCAGAGGCTCAATACAAAGTCATAAAGGTTTTGGGAGGTAGCTGGGGTGAAGGCACAGTTCCAGTTGTATCTCTCCTTTGTTGCAGAGAGTGACTGGCTGCATCCTCTCCAATGTCAACACACCCTCCATCACTCCTGTGATCGGCCAGCCCCAGAACGAGTCCTCACGGACCATCTACCAGAACAACAACAACGTCTCCAGCAAGCCCACTGCAGGTAGGTGACAGCAGGGTAGGGAAGAGGGGAATGAACATCCATCCCTCACCTCCCAGCTACGGCTGCCAAGCATTAGGAACAGTGATTCATCATCTTATTTTTGGGTCAGATCATTCATCAGTCTCCAAGCCCAGGGTTCGGTGAGGACATGACGGAGTTAGCGTCCAGTGCAGCAAGGGGAGCCGAGAATAGCTTAAAATAGCTGTGAAATCTCACTGGGCTTCAGCTGGATGATGTCCACATGGTGAAATCAGCTAAGAGAAAAGCTACCTGGTACTCACAGGATGGGGTACCCACAGGGATGAACTGGCAGGAAAAGTGGTATGGCTGGATCCCCCAAGAGCTGGTGTGATGTGGGACACAGAGGTATTAGCTGGGGATAAGAGGGGGCATTACTTAAATCTCATAAAAATGAACATCTTGTATTCTTTTTAGTGGTTATAGCTGTCCAACTTGTCCCTTCAAAGCACAGCATAGCACTCTCAGGAATTAAGGCTGTGGCATGGCTGTGTTTGCTTTGGAGGTAATGGGGAGATGCTGAGAGCAGTTCCTGCTCTCAGGCACAGGAGTATCTTGCAGGACCAGGGTGGCCAAAGCACTTGCATGAGTTGGTCACACAGCTTCTAATTAATTTGCCTCCTCCACTTTTAGCAAAGATCCTTGGGAAGGTGGGAGAAAGCCTGAGCCGGATTTGCTGCGTTCGCCCACCCATGGAGCGCTTCACTTTTGTGGGTACGTAAACAAAAGGTCTGGCATCATCTCTGCTTTCACTTCAGTCCCCAACCTTTCTCCCAGCCCCATCTTCTAGGCTGAACACCAATACCTCTCTTTTGCTTCCTTTCCTCAGATGAAAATGCCAACTTGGGGACAGTGATGAGATACGAGGAGATTGGTGAGTACACACACACCCCCTCCACATCACTCTGACTCCTCTGGGTCAGTACTATGCAGCTCAAGGAGCAGTTGCATGACAGATCCTGTGGTGACTGAAGGGAGCTGGATCATCTCACCCTGGTGCTAGCTACCAAAGAAAGGGAGGACATCAAAGTCCTCTAAGATGAGCAAGGAAAACCTCTGGTGCTTCACCATCAACTTTGCTAAAGCAAACACAGCCATGGCCAGGGCTTTGAGCGGTCCCCTGGGCTCTCCATATTGCCCTGTGGCTGAAGCCCCTGCAGCAGATTACAAAGCAATTATGGGTGCCTGTAGCATGGAGAAATTACTCTTTTCCCCAGGGATACCCCACCTCCATGGCTGGAGCATAGCCATAGTTGAACAGCGTGTAGCAATGCTCACAACAACCCAGCAGCATGGGAGAGGAGCTGAAATAAAGTAGGGGGAGGTATTTGATGTTTGGCACCAGTAGGGATGTGAGAAGGGACATGGGATCTTTATCAGGACTTCTTTTGGTAGGTGAGATCTGTGCAGAAGTTTCCTCCCCTAGAAGTGCAATGGGGAGGAGGGCAGGGAGTGCCTGCTCAGCCCCATTTGTTCCTACCTGAGCTTCTCTGCTTCTTCTCTTCAGAGCTTCGCATCTTACTGCTCTGTGGCAGCGACCTGCTGGAGTCCTTCTGCATCCCTGGTCTCTGGAATGAGGCAGACGTGAGTCACCACTGCTGGGCACCCCTCTGTGCCCCTCCTCCTTAGGCTCTCTTTCTCCCCCCTGCTTCCCAGACCCAGCGCTCCCAGGAGCTGTGCCCAGCATCCCCACTGCCTCTTCCATCCCAACCCTGACCCTACTTCACAGGCAGCCTGAGGGACAGGGTCTGCAGCAGAAACTAGATTTTTCTGGCACCAGCCCTAGAGGAGGAGCTGGATTACCAACCCACATACTGCCCTCAGCAGTCAGCGCACTGCTGGCAATGGTAGCTCCCCTGGCTCTTCACTGAAATCAGTCAGTCAACACAACCTGACCCCTTCCTTGAGTCTGTCAATCATTTCTAAAATCAGTTACCAAGTCTTCAAACCTGAGGTTTTTAGAAACAATTAGTTGGCAGATATCTCCTCTGAAAGGCTGCAAATTCTGAGATGAGGCAAGTCTTGAAGCCCAGCACAAAGGATGCAAAAATTTGATGTCAAAAGCACAGGCAGAGGAGGCATTCTGCACCAGCAACACCTCATGTACTCCTGCTGCCTGAATTTGCTGACCTTGCACTCTTTTGGAAGGACCTGGTTTGTCTCACCTGAGATGGGTGTGAGCAGCAGGAGCCATCCCTACATGGTGGCAAACTTGGCCACCAGCCTCAGCTCAAACAATCTTGGAAGAACAACCCTACAAGGCTTGTGTCAGAACCAACCCATCTGTCCTGCTCACAAAGCCTTCCAGCAAGGCAGAGGTCATGCCCTCCTTGGGCAACCTCCTGCTGTCATTCTCCTTTTACCATGATGAGTCCTCCCTCAACATCTAATGATAAGATTCAACCCTGTGCCTTTCTACTGCAGACCACTCACTATGCCTGCCATCACTTGATTCCAAGTTTTGGCCAAATGCCTTTGAGATAGTCTCAAATTCACTTCCTATCTCCATCCATAGCCCAGTTTTCATGGTATGGGGTGGTGGGGGTAGGCAGCAGCAGGTTTTGTGTGGGGTGGTTATAAAGCTCTCCCTACTTTGGGTTGCTCCTAGATGGAGGTGATTGTTGGGGAGTTTGGGATTGTGGTGGTGCCCCGTGATGGAGCAGACCCTGACCGGATCATGAACCACTCATCCATACTCCGCAAGTACAAAGTAAGTGGATGCACATGTGGTCAAGGAAGATTGCAAGAGGACCAAGAGCCTCTCTTTACCCAAGGGAGCACTTCTGCCACAGGGCACAAAATGTCTCAAGGCCAGATGCTCCCAGCTGCTAGGTGGGGTGGGCAATGGGGCCACAACAGCAGCTCCCTGACTCCTCTGGGGTGGAGGGGCTGGTGGTGCAGACACCTGCTTTCAAGCCATCCCTTCTCTCCCCTCTTCCTTCTTGCCCCGCAGAACAACATCCTGGTAGTGAAGGATGACTCAAACCACCCCATGTCGGTTGTCAGCTCCACCAAAAGCAGGTGGGTGATGTAGGGCAGCTCCCACAACAGAGTGGGAAAAGGGGTGCTCCCCAGCCACCCAAGTGGGTTCTGATCACTTTCTCTCCCCCCACACTCCCAGACTGGCCCTGCAGCACGGGGATGGGCACGTTGTGGATTACCTCTGCCAGCCCGTCATCGACTACATCCTCAAGAGCCAGCTCTACATCAATGCCTCCGGCTAAATGCCAGAGGTCTTGCAGGGAGACAGCCCTCATGTCCCACCTGCCCACAGCTCTCTGTCACTCTTCTCTCTCTCTCTCTCAGTCTGTGCCTCCATCTCTCTGCCCACCCCATCGCCTCCTGCCCGTGTCTGCCTCTCACCCCCGGCGCCAACGCTCCATTGTGCAGCAATGTCCAGGGAACCGCAGCACGGCCCCAAGGAGAATGGTTTGGTCTGTTTTTTCAGGGAGCCACCCTCCCCCTCACACATGGGGAGGAAGGGGGGGACCCGAAAAAGAGTAGCTCTGACACCCCCCTCCCAGCATGTCACTGGGAAATGGTCCCACTGGTCCGTCCTCCCAGCATGCTCAGAGAGGGGCTTCCTCTTCTGCATCATCTTAGAGTACTTAAGCTCAATGAATCTAGGTGAACTTTTTTCTTAAATAGTTTTAATGTGAGCCCTTTGGACCTCTCACCACGGTGACCAAATGAATCCTGGTTGGCAACAGGCAGTTGTAACACAACTGGCTCAGTGCCCTGTGGCAGGTGAACTTCCTCAGGCTGGGAATAGGGCAACCCAGCTAACAAAATCTTCCCCCTGGCACTAAAAAATCTTGGATAGTGCATTTCTGAAGGGAAGCAGAGCCTTGGGAAAGCATGGCTGCCAAAACATTACTAGGGGGAGATGTCATGTCTCACCTTTCCTTGGCTGCAAGTGACTCCAACTCACCCTAGGTCACCCCCTAGGCAAGCGGAGTTGGGGAGATGCTCTACTCTGACTCAGTGTCAGAGCAGGCAGCCCTCAGCATCTAGAAAGGGACCCACCATTTATGAAGCCAAGAAAGGAGGGAGAAAGAAGCAAGTGATGACCCCCAAACCTGGCTGAGCTTCGTGGGGGCTGGGTCCATCCCCATCCTCTAGCCTCCAGATCTCCATTTCTGTCTGTAAACTTCCTCCTTCTCCCTCCGCTCCTGCCCTCTTCCTCTCCTTGAAGATTTTGTTAAATGCATGATACTTCCCCCCTCCCAAACTGGCTGTGGCTACTTTGCACATCCCTCAGATCATGCCAGTCTCCTGCTCTCCTGCTTGTGATGTGCCCCCAGATGCCAGGGATGGAGTCTAGTGGAGGTGATCGTGTCAAAATCAGGGCAGGTACCATGGAGCAAAAGACAATTATTTAAGTCCTGAAGAGTGGAGGGCTGCTGGAGCAGGCAGCTGTCCTGCTGAGCATCCCTGAGGTGCAAGGACCCTGCACAGCCCCTGGAAAAGGTCACCGCCACAGGAGGAAGGTACAGTCCTGCTTTACTCCTCACCTTTTCCCCTCCCTTTGCTCCATCTAACCTTGTATCACTTTGCTGCCTATAGCTGCTACAGTGGACATCTGCCCACTCCCCCACAAATTGGGCTAACTAGACGCAGGCTACCCCACACCACCACCATCCCCCAAAGCATTTCCCATGCTGGCTTTGTGGCTTTCCTAGGGTGGTGCTGTGACTAGCTGCTGGTCGCCAGCAAAGGAGAGTGCTGTGTTGAGACACCTGAGGCTGAGAGTCCTCCAGGGTGTTTCATGAAAGGAAATGAAACGGCTTTTTTTCTTCTTAAAAGTCTATGAAGGGTCACAAGCTACTGTCATGGAATCTCCAAGGATGAGACATTGTGCTAAATTGGGTGACCTGCTGGATGCTGCTTGCATCTCTGTACCAGCAAGCAACTTCGGACAAAACAAGGTGGCCTACAGCCACAGGCTTCTTGCAGCAGGCAGGGCTTTATGAGTGGTAGCTAACAACTTCTGAAGGAGGGCTCAGCCCTTCCAAGAAGGGAAAGCAAGAGAGACCAAAGTGAAGTGACTTGCCCAAAGGCCTGAAGAGGTCCTTCCTTGCCAGGGATTTTCCTCCACATGGAGAGGCTTGTTCAGGAACAGCTGTAAGTTTGACAGCTGAATCCCCAATGCCAGCTCTGGTATCTGGATGGTGGTGTACGTATCCTGTGGGGTGAGGATATGTGGAGACACCAAAGCAGAGAGGGTGGTAAGAGTGAGGGACTTGGACTGCAGGAATGCCCCTTTCTCCAGAGAGGTCTTCAGCCAGTTTGAGCTGCTTGCCAACACCCTACTGAGCTCGCTTAGCTAATAGGCTGGGCAGGTGCCTACAGTAGGACATCTCATCCACGTAAGCCAATAGCTAGACTCCTCTCCATCTGTTCTCACATGTTCAGTTTTACAGTCTCTCCTCCTGCTCCACCCCAACACAGAAGTTATTTCAGACAGCAGTTTCCTCTCCTTGCCAGTCATCCCCTATGTTTCTTATCACCAAGCCTCCAAAACCACACACACACAGATTTTAACCTTGTGGAAGAGCAACACTTCTTTGAAGGTGGAGGAAGGACAGTGGGTTTTAGCTGAGGAAAAGACACAGGGAAATAAACCCAAGGAGATGGAGAAGGAAAGCAGGTGTCATGTCAGAGAGCCATCTCAGATCCTCCCTCCCTCAGGTATGCAAGACGGGATGCAGGGGAAGCCAGCCAGCCTCCCGTCCCATTGCGGTTATGCCTTAAAGACATAGCCGTGTGGTATGGATGATGAGTATATTCTGTCTTACTAGTCTTACCTGCATCCTCATGTATCCGCTGAGCAAAATTCACAGTAGGGGAGGGTGGGACGGGGGTTTGTAACAGGTCATTCAGCTCTGGGATTGGTTTAGAAGATGTCTTTGGGTGGGTATGGAAAATAATAATCATCCCTGAAGATCCATGTGACTGCCAGGGAGCTGAGAACAGGGGTTTCCAGGGTGGAAGGGAGGGGTGGGAAGAACATCGTGGGTTTTTGTCTTTGAACCTCCACTTTTAAACAGCGCAATTTGCTGAAAGAGAAATGAACTTCAAACAGCTTTCAGGGGAAGAAAAACAGAATGGGGGTGGGGGGAGGGCCAGGGGTTGAAGTTGCCATACCACCGATTCCACCTCTGTCAAAAGTTTTGGAGCCTTTTTTTTTCTGTTGCTATATGAAAAAAAACAGTCATTGACAAAAAAAACTTTATCAGCAAAATGTTTAAATTATGTAATAAACAAAACAAAACAAAGATATTACTGGTGTTATTTCAAAACAGAGGAGTGGCTGCACTGCTGGGAGAACAGATGGCCAAACTCACCCAAAACAGGGAGCTAGAGAGAATAAACCAGTAGGCAAGATCCAGCCAAAAGTATTCATTCTTTATTTACATTCTCCCTTCCAAAAAACTCAACTTGTGGAAAAATAAAGTCAAGCCCATAATACCTGTCCCTACACTGTACAATGGGAGAAGAAAGACATGCCAGAGGCAAGAATACATTTCACTTAAATAAAAGTTCAGGGCAAACATAGCACTTGGTATATTGTTATGAAGCAAGAGCACAGGCATTGCTTTATTGCAGAATCAGACCTAACAAGGGGTAGAGTCACCAAAAGTGTCCTTCTCCATCCAGGACCTCCTTTTTCACCCCTATGAAGGTCAGAGTGCTTCAGCAAAGTCGAATTCCATCTCCTAGACTCTGGAAATAGCATCTATAGGAAGCTGGGAGCAGTGTCAGAGCCCAGCTGTAACCACAGAAAAGCCACAGGTGGGTGAAGTACTGTGGTCTTCAGCTCCTCCAAGCTCTGCTCAGATGTACAGTGGGAAACCCCTGTGGACAACCAGTTAAGCCCCTAAAAAACATCCAGCACCATGTGGGAGGTGAGAGGAAGCGGAAATAGGCAGCACCAAACCAGGGACATCTCCAGTGTTTTTAAACAGACCAAATCAGTGTGCTGACACTCCTGCAGGATAGGACCAGGTTCTCAGACATGACAGCTTGTGGCTGCAGATGCCTGGAGAAAGTCCTCATTCCTGTGACAACTGCTGCAGGGTTCTGGGTGCTTGGGGAGACACAACCTTCTCCTGGGCTCTGGGACATCTGGAAAGCTGCCTGGCACCGAACTGACTGGTCTTGGAAGGAAAAGTTGTGCTTGAACATGAAGGGGATGGTAAAGAGACCAGTGCTTGCCCAGGAGGAGCTCTGACAAAAACCCACCCCTTGGGGGCTTTGGGACTTGAAGTGTGGAAGAAAGAAGGGGAACCCTCTCCTGGCTGAAGGAAGCAAGGCAGAGGAGGAAAGACTTTCCACTTCAGAGCCCTCAGCAGTTCTTTCTGCTAACCCGCTAGCCTGGGATCCTCCTCTTTCTCCATACAGCACATCACTGTGAGCTCAAAGCCAGCTCCAGCTTCTACCTTAGTGTAATAGTAACCACTTCACTGAGAAGCACCATGGTAGACCTGCAGCTTTATCAAAAATGTCATCAGTGGCATCTGATGCCTAATCTCTAAGCCACACCAGCACCACTCCCAACCAGGTGAGGACTGGGCACGCTGGGAGGAGAAAGCCACGTGAAGCATCACCAGTGCCACAGCTCAAAACTCATCTCCCCCGACTGGCTCTTCACACTGCTCAATCCCTGCCTCCTCAGCTACTGAAGCAAAGATGACATGGAGAACATGAAGAGGTGGTGGTGGCAGTGCCAGAAGTAAGGACAGAGACTACAGTACTTCCGTGTGTGCCAGACCAGAAGTGTTCTCCACAGGGGGGTGGAGAACATTTCAGCCATGAACGTCAGGCTCCGAATTGTGCAAATTCCCAAGGTTGACACCAAGAAACCCCACCTGCAACTCAAAGAAACATTGTAGGAATGGGCTGTTTTTCAGACAGTAGCACCTTCACACATCCAGGCATCTCCTTCCTCCCATGACTGAGGGACAGACCACTTTGAAAAACCAGGGACTCTCCAGGGCCAGGTGTCAATGTGAACTTCAGCTGCCACACTGAGCTTGAGGGTAAAGATCAGTTCAACACAGTCAAAAACAGTCTGTCCTGCCAGGCCTGGGGAAGGCAGCTGGGCTAGGCTCTCCTACCTTCAGCCTGGCAGGCACTACAGCCTTTCCAGAGCTCGCTCATGGCAATTCAATGGCTTTTGTGTTGTAGCAGCCTGGAGGAAGATTTCTCTGGATATCCTCCAGGTTCTTAATATCCACCAGGATCTCATCGATGTTGCTTTCCAGTGTCCGCACCTGGGCCTTCTGCAGTGTGGCTGTCTGCTCCAGCTCCAACATCTCATCCTTCAGCTGGCTGCTTCTGGTTTTGGCTTTGCTAAAATTCATCTCAAGCTGCTTCAGGCCATCCTCATCCATAGCACCAGGCTGGTCTGTTGCACAGGAGGAAAACAAGGAAGAGGGAACCATGGAAGGAGGCTGAGGACTAGATCTTTCTAGATACTTCATCTCCATTCTGCTACCCAGCCCATTTACAGGCATTATATTATTTCACTTCCTGCGAAACTCCCAATACCCCTGCCTAGACCCCAGTGGGAACCCGCTTCCATCCATGCCTTATTGCAGAGTCACAAAACCTACTCATTAGATGCAGCAGCTCTTCCAGGGCACTCAATGTCTCCTGCACGACCACCCCTGCCCGGCCAGCTTTGGCATGGACCCTCTGAGCTTCCTGAGCTGTCTGGAGAAGGCAAGGCAGCACATGTAAGGCGATGTCTAGCCCAGAAGTCAAGGGGGAAGAGGGCAAGGTGGGAAGACGGGGACCCACCTCCTGTATCACAGCAGCATCAGCCTCAACCTCCAAGTGCTTCCTCTCAAATTCGCCATCCACTTCCTTTGCCTCACGCCGCAGAGTGGCCACTGCCTTCTCCAGGGCAAGGACACCATCAGCTGTCTTGTTGGCTTCCACCTTGAGCCGTGTAATCTCCTAGGGAAGGCAACGACACTTTCAGAGGAGCAAAGCATGGCTGAAATCAGCCTGGGTGCACCAGGGCCTGGAGCTGGTGGAAACAGCTTCCTTCTACAGGGACTCAAAATTATCACAAGCTCTCCTGTACCCTTCATATTCTCGCAACACTTAGTTGCTCCAGAGAGTTGTTTCTGTGGCCATGGCTAAACCACTCCTGCACACATCAGCAAATCCCTGGGGAATTACAACATACATCTGGGAGTTGAACCCACCAACACCAATTCT